TAAATATGTTTAAAAGATTTAAAGAAAAACATGAACAGAATAAGAAATGTAAAATATTTTTAAAAAAGTAAATGAAACTCCCAGAGCTGAAAAATTCAATATTTAAAAATAAAAATTTTAGGGCCAGCTTGTGGCTCACTCGGGAGAGTGCGGTGCTGATAACACCAAGGCCCCGGGTTCGGATCCCATATAGGGATGGCCTGTCAGCTCACTGGGGGAGCATGGTGCTGACAACACCAAGTCAAGGGTTAAGATCCCCTTACCAGTCATCTTTTTAAAAAAAATAAAAAAATAAAATAAAAAAATAAAATAAATAAAAATTTTACTGGATGGTCTTAAAAGCAAATTAGAATGTGAAGAAAAGATTAGTGAATTTGAAAGCAAGAGAAACAATTCGGACTGAAGATCAGTATGAAAAAGTCTGAAAAAAGAGAGACTCTGACTTATGGTACAGTACCAAACAGACATGTAAGTAGAGTCTTAAAGGAGGAGGCAGAAAAATACTTGAGGAAAATGGCTAAATTTTTCCAAATTTGATAAAATACTTCTAAAACTGCTGGAAGCTATTATACAGAGAAGTTGAAAATCTTAAAAGCAGTCACAGAAAGTAAACTAAAACAATAAAGATAAGAATGACTGCAGATCTCTCTTCAGAAACAATGCAGTCCATAAGACAAAAAAAAACTATCAAACTACAATTCTAAATCCACTGAAAATGCTTTTCAAAAATAACGTGAAACAGTCAAAGTGAAGACAAAAAAAAACTATCAAACTACAATTCTAAATCCACTGAAAATGCTTTTCAAAAATAACGTGAAACAGACATTGTAGGCCAAAAAAAAAAAAAACCACCAAAAAGTAAAAATCTGAGAAAACTCACCAGTAGACCTACCACACAATAAATGCTAAAGAAACTTTCAGGCTAAAGGAAAGATAACAGAGTGCAATTTGAATCTACAAAAAGCAATGAAGAATCAGTGGAGGGCTACTTCTACTAATAGAAATGGGAAGATATTGGGTGATTTCCTTATGCAGAAAAGTATAAAAGTGGGCAAAATTGTCAAAAAAACAACCAATCTGGGGCATTGAAGATTGAGCAAAGTTAAACAAATTTAAAAATGTTTATTCTTGAAAAACTGTTCAGTTTTGAACAAAAATGGCAGCAATACTACAACCTTCCATGCTTGGTGATGCCCCATGCACCTGTCACTCAGTAGCTTTTTCAATTCAGGGCTTATTGCAGCCAGAGTAGTGGACTTGATTCAGGAAAACCCTTGATTTAGCAAGGAAAACCCATAGCTTTGCTGGATAAAAGTGGCAGACTTGATTCAAAAAGAATGGGGAAAATCCATACATAGCTTTCCTAGCCCAAAGTTGCAGGCCCAGTTCATGGCCATTGCCAGACCCATCAGAAATTAAAACTGATACCCTGGAAGTGAAAGAACCATAAAGGGGCTATGATAAGCTCACACACATACCTGACTGCTTACCTAACAAATGAAAACAAGGGATACTGAGAACTGACTGCAACCTTGAATAGTATTCCTCAACTCACATGTAGCTCAGTACTCTCAACAGAAATTATTCTTGCAATTTTCTCCACACTCACACTATTATGTTTTAGAATTAATTCTTCTACTTTCTGCAAAAATATAATTCTTGGTTGAGGGAAAGTAAGAATAAAGGTAGTGACCTGCCAAGCAGAGTCATCTACCTGTGATCAAAAACATTCTTCAGGGGCCGGCCCAGTGGCACACTGGATAAGCGCGCCGCTTGGGCAGCGGGGCGGCGCTCCTGCCCAAGGGTTCGGATCCCACATGCGGACCGGTTCCCTCTCACTGGCTGAGTGAGGCGCGGGAGCAGCGCCGAGGGGTGTGATCCCGTTGCCGGTCCCCGGTCCGGTATGGGGGCAACACTGAGGGTTGCGATCCGTTGCCGGACACGGAAAAAGACAAAAAAAAAAAAACATTCTTCAGGAGTCCCAGGTACTTTAATAAAAACATGCTTATTTTCTTAGTACCAACCTATAACAATATGAATCAATGAAATAAAAGTTGGATATCTACAGTCTCAATAGAAATAATACCTGCAATTTTCTCCATACCCATGCTATTACGTTCCAGAATTCTTATATTTCCTGCAAAAATATAGTTCTAGGTTGAGGTAAAATAAGATTAAAGGTAGTACCTTGCTAAGGAAAGAGTCACATACCTGTGGTCAAAAATGGTAATCTAAAGGATAAAAAATAAGCTTTGTTTTCTTACATGTAAATGCTCTTCAGCAGATGAGGGACTGTTTGGAAGGGAATGGGAGAATCAACAATCCACACTTGAATAACAAATGTTTAAAGTAAATTAAAGTCATCCTCCTGAACTCTAAAGTTTCTAGTTGTGTCCTTTCAATATACTTCAATAGTAAAGAAGCAATTATTTAACTTAGAGGATAATGATTAACAGTCCACAGAGGAATTATTACCAAAAAGAACACACACACACACACACAGGTAAGACATGACTAAGTAAAGTTATTTTATTTTACCTACACCTCTTCCTATATAAACTGTAGATAAATGCTGATACTGAGAAATGCTTGGAAGAATTACTGATAGAAGTCAGAACATCATGCCTTCCAATCCATCCTCCATGAACTTCTTATAAAGTGCCATAAATTTGGCCACAAATGCTTCCAAGTGATAAATGGCTTTGCTACCCAGCTGTAGACGATGTTCATAAAAAGCTGCCATCTGGGCTACTTCTCCTTTCAGCTGTCCATCACAATTATGTAAAAGTTCTGAGAGAAGACCCTAAAGAAAAATTAGTAATTTAAAAATTAATCATTTAAAAAAATATTAGTGGAATACGCTTTATTTCTGTCATTCACAAAAAGTAAAACTTTATGCTCTTTTTTACATACGAGATCTTTAATATTTTATATGAACTGGCAGTCTTCAATCAAAAGTGAAAACTTTCGTAACTTTTCAGGAATGCAAAAATCTAGTGGCTATCTATCACACATTCCAAGTTCCAAATATTTAATCACATAAGGATGCAAAGATATAAGTACAAAGATGCTGACTGCAGCATTACTTATAATAATTATAATCTGTGAGCAACCTCAAGTTCCACCAATAGGGATCATATTCAAAAAACTATGTTATAGTCATACAATGGAATACCATTCATCCACTAAAAAGAATGAGGTAAATCTGTAGAGTCATGAAACAACACCTGTGCTATACTGTTCAATGAGAACACAGTGCAGAACACAGAAGTTCTGTGACACAACACACACATACATAAACATGTTTCTAATGTAAATAGAATGGAAGTCTGTTAAAAGGGTCACCTTTGTAGAAATGGAAGGGTGGACCCTCTATTTTCTTTGTATATTTTATATCATTTGAATTTCTTCATGTAAGATTACCATCTTAATTTCAATAAAAACAGACAAAAAACCTTGAATTCCCTAATATCTAGCAATCAACAAATCTACCTAGCTAGGTAGATGACAGACCAAACTTGAAGCTATGCCTTAAAATATCCTAGTACACAGTCTTGGCTCTGCCTACCTCTTCAACTTCATTCCCCATGAGCACTGAGTCTCACTGTCTGAAATGCTTGTTCCCCAGCTATTTACACGGTTTTCTCTTTTTAATCCCCAAAGTCTCACCTTAATTGTATCTTCCTCAGAGAAGCCATCAATGGCCTTCCACAGCCCAACCCTCCATTATTATTTCACCCTGTTATTTCCTTCTTAGCACTTATTCTGAAATCCTCTTACTTCTTTACTTGTTTTGCATTTCACCTCACTAGATATAACTTCCCTGAAGGCAGGCCCTCCCATCTCTTCTTCAGCTCTCCCCTAATGGTGCCTACCACACAGTAGAGGCTCAATAAATATCTGTGGAATTAATGAGCTGGAGAGAAAAAGATAATGTATGTTAGTACTGCAAAAGACCTGTGATCACACACCAAAGTCCAAATTTTATGGTTATAACAGTTCAAGATCCGAAATCAGGTTACCTTCATTATTATCTCAGGAGGAATACAATGGGTTAGAAGCTCATAGAGTCTTCCACGAACTTCAAGGAGCCTACATAAAACAAAATAATAATTTATGATGAAAATAAGGAGTAACTTTTCCAATTACCTACTGTGCTGTTTTATTTTATGAATTGAACAATGTTGGGAAAACAGAATAGTTTAATCAGGGCCCCTGCCTCGGGGCAGGTTGTGGGTGGTGCAGCACATTCTTTGTAACCAAATTGGGGGGGGGGG